ATTCGTAGCTAAGGCTAAGGATGAACTTCTATGCCCATTAGGTGTTTGATGAAAGTTTTAAACCAATAAATTGTGATTTATCCTTTATATTGATTGTTTATGACTATGGTGTACAACATAGAAGTATGTTAAATTTAGTTTATACTTGCAATTAACGTTGAGGTCTAAACTATGAACACTAAAGGATAAACATATATAGTACCGAGAATAGAAATATATCCGGTCTTATATGATACGGGTGTGATGTCTTGATAATCAACAGGGTTTTCGGTAGATGAATGTAAGCCGTAACGGGACTTACACGTAACGAAAACCACGCTCTCGCTGCCTTAATCGGAATTGAGAATATATTAGCAACATCATATTCATAATTATTGGCAAAGAACTAATATCCAACCCTATTAAAACATTTAAGTGATTCTCGAAGCCTTAGTTGTTGTTATTATTCAACTTAAACTCAAAATTAGTTAACAATTATCTTCTTGAACAAAAAGTGAAAAACCAAAAATATAAAACACAAATCAAAAATCCGTGCATGATATGCACTAATTAGTAGTGCATAAATGTATATTTTTATGATTGATTTGTGTGTATTGTTTACCGTTTTATTTAGTTTGTAAACATTTGTGTGATTTTAGTTGTAATCGTATTTTAATTCTCATTTATAAGTTGTAAAGTATAGTTAGGATTTGTGGTGTTGGAAAGGAAGACTTTGAAGAGAAGAAAACAAGAAATTTGACTGCCCGGGAGTGAAACCCGACCGGGTAGAAATCCCCACCCGGTCGGGTATGATTTAACAGACGAAATTGCCAAGAAAGTCACTGGACCCGGTCGGGTCCCCTACTTGACCCGGTCGGTTCAGATGTGACCCGGGACAAAACGACGTGCGAAGATCACCAGAACGTGGCGGATTATCTGATTTTGACCGGACCCGGTCGGGTAAGTACTTGACCCGGTCGGGTACCCGGCCAAAGGTGTTGAAAAACACCTATAAATAGCACACTTTTTCTTCACAAAAAATAATCCCTTCTTCCAATCTCTTTAGCTCAGTTTAGAATAGCATTTCTTTATATTTTTCTAGCTATGTTTAGCCTCCAAATGAGGAGCTAAACTTCCATTCTTGGTGTTGCTCTTGAAGCTTGTTGATTATTAAAGTTGTGAGTTATTTTCTTAACTTCTTTCCTTGAATATTAATTAATGGTTCTTTCCTTAATACCATCTCTATATTAATGTTGGGGAGTGTTGCTAAGATGACAATTAGTTAACATCTCGACATTAGTTAGAATGATATTTTCTTCCTCTATATTAATGTTGAGGAGTGTTGCTAAGATGACAATTAGTTAACATCTTGATATTAATTATAGTAGGATTCATCTTCTTTAATAATATTCTTCCTTGAATATTAATTAATTCCTACTCATATTTCATATTAATACTTTGAACATTACTTAAAGGATCAACTAGTTTTGTTTCATATATTAATTATTACTAGAAACGATCAACGAACCGATGGTTAATCGTTGATGGTTTCACAAGTAAGTAACTTCGGTTTATTAATGCAAGGTCGTGGTTAATAAACTTAAGAGGGATTAATTTTGTTGGTTAAACCGAAACCGCTTGTGTTGAGGTTATCAATCTCAATTGATTTCATCAAGGAGTTAGAAAGATTAAATGCTACTATTAAATCGGTATAAGGCGTTGTTCTATATTTGATTAATAGTAAGGATTATTAATGAACGGTCGTTGTTAATAACTACCCTCGATGAAGTGGATATACTCCCCGATTGAGTATTCAAGAGGGAATAAGTTATAGATATAACAATGATCAACTAAAATATATCAACAAGTGGAAAGTAGCAATGCCAAGTCCTTTTTATCTTTGAATTAAACACATATATGTTGTTCATCTTAGTTTTTAATTAAATTAAATCTCTCAAACCAAAACCCCCCTTTTTATTCATTAAGTTCATAGAAAGAGAATTATACCTTTCCCTGTGGATACGAACTCTACTACACTATACTACGTATAAGTGTTTAGTATTGAATTTATTTTGACGCACCTTGACAAAAGTGCTCGTCAGTGCACTTTACTCATTTCTTCATTTAAAGCTATCTACTCTCGGACTTGAATTAAACAACGTTTCCTTGTGGATTCGACCCGGTATTTTACCGGAATTTATTACTATATCGGCACTTGTACACTTGCAAGTTTAGCCCGGTCAATGTGTGTGGACTATACAGATCTCAACAAGGCCTGTCCAATGGATGCTTTCCCTCTGCCTAGCATAGATCAATTGGTGGATCAGACTGCTGGATGCAAACTCCTTTCTTTCATGGACGCATCCAGGGGGTATCATCAGATCTCCATGCACCCCGATGATGCTGAAAAGACCTCATTTATCACATCCAGGGGGAAGTCTTTTGTTACCTGGTGATGGCTTTCGGGTTGAGAAACTCTGGGTCCACTTACACCAGGATGGTGGCCAAGGTCTTCCGAGCAGTGTTATGGAGGAACATGGAGAGCTACGTTGATGACATGATCGTAAAAAGACAAAAAGCAGGCGATCATGCAAATGAGCTCAGGGAGGTATTTGGCATCATGAAGGAAGTAAATTTATGACTCAATCCTAACAAGTGCACTTTTGCGGTTCAAGGCGGAAGATTTCTGGGGTTCATGGTAACCCACAGAGGGATTGAACCTAACCTAGAAAAGGTCAAGGCAATTTTAGATAAGGAGCCCCCAAGAAACGTCAAAGAAGTCTAAATCCTCACTGGGAGGCTGGCGGCCCTTGGGAGATTCCTATCCAGGCCAATCGATAAATCCTTGCCGTTTTTCCAAATCTTGAAGAAGAGCAATAGGTTTCAGTGGACCCAAGAGTGCCATACCGCATTTGAGGACCTCAAAAGGTATTTACAGTCAGATTTGTTGCTCAGCAAACCTGAGGTCGACGAAACACTTGTTCTGTATTTGGGAGTGACCCAGGGTGCAGTCAACTTTGTTTTGGTGCGAGAAGAAGGGACCGTGCAGAAGCCGGTCTACTACATCAACAAGGTTCTCCATGGGGCTAAGCTCAGATATCCAGCCCTGGTGAAAACTGCCCTCGCAGTATACGTTGCAGCAAAGAAACTTGCCCACTACTTACAGGCTCACCCTATCAAGGTCTTGTAAGATCTGGGAGTGGGAACTCTGTTCAAAACGGCTAAAACGGCACGAGTGGTAAAGTGGTCCTTATTAATCAGCTAATATCAAATGAGCTTCCACCCAAGAACATCGATCAAAGGCCAAGCCTTGGTAGATTTCTTAGTGGAATGCACTGCCAGAGACGTGGCTGAAGAAAGACGTCGCGACAAGGAAGATTAGTGGATCCTCATGACTGATGGATCATCATCAGGGTCCAAACGTTGCGGAGGAGGGGTGGTCCTCATCACCCCTGAAGGCTTCAAGACCTACTATGCCCTCAGGTACTTATTTAATATGTCCAACAATGAAGCAAAATATGAGGCCTTACTTTCCGACCTCTTGATAGCAAAGTACTTCAGAGTCCAAAAAATGAAGGTCAAGAGTGACTCTAAGTTGGTCATCAAACAACTTAGAGGGGAATATGACGCCAAAGAAGCCTGGATGCAGAAATATAGGGATGCAACCCTGGAACTCATCAAACAATTCGATGAGTCTGACCTGATATGTGTTCCACGAGTCCAAAATGTTGACGCAAACATCCTATCGAAACTAACGACAGAAGCACCTGAATATCTCATTCGTAGAGCTCGAGTGCACGAACTAAACAGGCCAAGCATTGAGGTTATCAAAGATCAGGAGGTCTTGCCAATTAACCAGGCCTCAAAGTGTTGGATTGACGACCTGGTAGAATTCAAAGAAGGTGGAACGCTGCCCTCAGATGAAGAAAAGGCAAGGGTGATCAAAAGACGGGCTCCAAATAATGTCATCCAAGATGGCAAGCTTTACAAGAGAAGTTACAATGGTGGGCCGGGTTGGAAGTTGTAACGGGCTGCAGGCCTATGTCAAGTCGGGCGCATTTAAAGTGAGCGACGCTACAATTATCCAAGGGATTCAAAATTTGAATTACCCACCACAGTTACTCTCCTAAACTCCAGCCCTGCTGATTTTGGAGAGTAGGGGGATTGTGATGGTACCATGGACTCTAACCATGGCCCAATTACGGAATTAAAGATCAAGCTCATAACGGGATCCAGCCCATAATGGGAGCAAACTCATAACGGGATCCAACCCATAACGGGATCAAGCCCTTAATGGGATCAGCCCATAAACGGGATTAGTATGATTAGCTGTTGGGCCTGACTGGGAATCAGACCCACAACAGGAACTCACAACCAGGCCTAGTGAGGTTAGGATATTCCTAGGGCTTACGTGGCAGGCTATCATTCGTGCATAGCTATCTGGCAGCAGGCAAGAATAAACGACAGGAACGTGGACTTGAAGGAACGATCAATGCACAACGACCAAAATGTTACAAGAGTCCTATTCGAACTAATACATGATTAATAGCATTTATTGTATCAGTTTCCTAATAGAATACTAGTTCCTTTAGTCTATAAATATTTCATGTAAATTTCCTATGAAGGGACCAAACTCCGGATAATAGAATATTGTCTTACGATGCCATATTCTCATCTGCTCTCGTAGATTTAGCTCTCGTAGTTGGATTAAACTCCATCACTAACAGATTCCGATCTATTTCTTTATATAGGCCGCTCAACACTCTTTAGAACGGAAGTGAACATTAAGTAAATAGTTTACGGTTTATAGCTTTATATGAGAAATTAATAGGTAGAGTGCAATCCAATAAAGAATAAGGAATGGGAAAATAAGAACTGTTACGGAACATAAAAGCAGGCAATCAATAATATAGAACAATAACCAAACAGAATGCATACACTATGCTCATGAAAAATCAAAGATGTTTAAGAATAAGTTAAAATACGTGAGGTGCAATACGAAAAACTAGAAGTGAGCTTACCTCCCAAACGAGCATTGCATCCTGGGTATTCCCTTTCCTTCCCTGCTGTGTAAAGAGGAAGGCCACCTCACTAGAGCCATTCAAAAACCTTCTCCCTGGAATCCTATGTAACTGTTCTTCCTTTCAACTATGGTGAAAGGAGGAAGAATGCTTCTTCATAGAGGTCTTCCTCTTCTTCTCAATCGAAGAGACGGGAGAAGGGAGAAGGCTCATGCTTCCTGAAGAAGAAAAGCAGGAAGCCAGGAAGCCATATGTACGGCCCTCGTTATTAACATACGCATGATATATGCAGACTTATAATAGTCGTGTGGAGATGCATATAGTATAGTATTACTTATAACAGTTTGTTACGTAAAGTTGTTTGTTAGTTAAGTTGACTTTTCTTCTCTTCATTTTGTATAAATACACTGTGTAACTCATTACATTTGATATGAAAAGTTTTATCTTCCGCTTCGTCTTCTTCCTTGCTCATCCACTTGCTAATATGGTATCAGAGCTTTGAGTTCATTAGACATGGCATTTCTCCAACACTCATGTTGACTGGTTTGTTTGAAGGATTTGGGTTCAATATGACTGGAAATGGCATTGCAAAAGGTAATATGGCTTTTGGAACATTGATAATAATCAAGATAAGATTCAAGTTTATAAGGGGTTGAGGAAGTAGTTTTGGATGTTCCACAGTAATAGGAAGTTAGATATCCTGGAGGTTTTCTAGACCTGGATGATGTTGTGTTGGAACCAGAATTTTGGTCACAATTGAGTATGGTGAGAGGTGAATCAGATGTTGAAGGACTGATGAGAGTGTTGTCAAATTTGGATTCAGATGTAGTGGAATCTTTGGAAAAAGGAAAATCATCCTCACAGAAAATAACATCTCTAGAAATAAAAATGTTTTGATGATGGAGGTCATAAAGGATATATCCTTTAGTGCCTGTTTTGAACCCTAAGAAGATACATTTATTTGCTCTTTTGTCAAGTTTAGTTCTTCCTGAAGATAAGGTACTGTAATATGCAAGACAACCAAAAGGTTTGAGACTATGAAGGTCAGGTTTGGATTTATGGATGACTTCAAATGGAGATTTTTTATGTAAGATGGGAGTTGGTAACCTATTGATGATGTGGGTGGCATGTCTGACAGCAAAAGACCAGAACTGAGATGGAAGTTGAGCTTGAAAAAGTAGGGCTCGAGTAGTATTAAGAATATGTTGATGTTTCCTTTCAACAATGGAGTTTTGTTGAGGACATTCAACACAGGAGGTTTCATGTTGTATGCCATGGGTTTGGTAGAAGTCAGAGAGGAGAAATTCTTTGCCGTTATCTGACCTAATTTGTTTTAAATGGCAATCAAATTGATTTTGAATTAGAGTGTTGAAAGGAATGAGCAATGATCTGACTTCAGATTTCATTTTTAGGGTATGGATCCAAGTAAATCTACTGAAGTCGTCCACAATTGTTAAAAAGTATTTATAACCAATAATAGAAGTGGTAGACAATGGACCCCAGATGTCAACATGAATTCTTTCAAAGAAATGTTGAGAATGAGTAGTACTGACGGGAAAAGGAAGTTTCTCCTGTCTTGAAAAATGGCAAATGTCACAATTATTAAAAGAAGTAAATGGAATATCCTTGTATTGAAGTGATATTTGTTTGAGTACAGTATTGGAAACATGCCCTAATCTCAAATGCCAAGAGAAAGGAGAACAAGCAGAATGTGTAACATCCTTGGTGACTTTATTAACAACACTTGAATTATTAGGAAAAGTATTACAATTGTTGAAAGATAAAAGAGAAACAGGATTGTGAGTTTGAGGCAGACAGTAAAGTCCTTGAAACTTTTTAGCTTGTCCAATCATCCTCAAAGATTTCTTCTGCAAAATGAAACAATGCAGTTCTGAGAATAGAACAACATATGAATCAGAAGAAACAAGCTTGGGAATAGAGATGAGATGAGAATGGAATTGGGGAACAAAAAGAACATGATGGAGAGTTAAACTTCCTATGTTAATACTACCAGACTGAGAAGCTGTGACATATGAACCATTAGGCAGATTAATATGAATAGGAGGGATGTTTGTGAGAAAGGAGAACAGATTTGGAGAGGGGCAAATGTGGTCAGTAGCACCACTATCTAGAATCCAAAAGATAGGTGTATTGGAATTACCAGGAAGAAGCAATGGGCTGGTATTGACTTGATTGATAGAGTGAGAAGCCTCTTGAACATGAGTTTGTTGAAGAAGTGCCATTATCTTTTGATACTGCTCCTGGGACAAGTTAAACTGGTCCTGAGGTAAATTATATGTAGAACATTGAGACTGAGAAGTCACATTAGGATCAAAAGAAACCATGTTAGCAGAAGAAGTATTCTGAGTATTAGTATTTCTGGATTTATAGTTTGTTAATACTCGTTACATTCAACAAGCACTCCAAGTCTCCAATAAAGAGAGAAAAAAAAGAACTACCATGAAAAGAGAACAAAAGCAAGGGAGAGAGAATAAACAGATCTTTCAAATCAGCCGAGATGTTCAAATGCCAAAGTTCAGGCTTCCAATTATGCTGAAGTAAGCTAAGATGTACTCTTAAGTGTTAATTCAGGCCTGAGAGAGTGGCATACTGTTATACTCTTGTGCAAACAAGCTCAGAATTTCATAATAATTTGTCAATAACAGAGAGATACTAAAGAAAATCGGGAATATCGTAGGAACATCAATTATGAACAGAGGAAACTAGGAAAAATTGAAGAAGAAAATTGAGAATGGTAAATACAATACTTTGTATTTGTGTATCTTATACTCCGATGAGGAGAATTTTTCATATATCAAGAGATTGCAAAAGCAGAGATCATTTATAAATGGTGTAAGATCGCGGATACAAGTAATGTGTACTTTATATGCGTTAATACGGAGTGTATATATAGGTTTCATACACGTACATATTACATACAGTATCGCGCGAGTACGTAGTTTTGTGCCGTACATGCAGAGTAAAAATAAGGGAGATATATTTTAGTCGATCATTGTTATATCTATAACTTATTCTCTCTCGAATACTCAATCGAGGAGTATATCCAATTCATCGAGGGTAGTTATTTACAACGACCGTTCATTAATAACCCTTACTATTAGTCAAGTATAGAACACCGTCATATACCAACTTGATAGTAGCATTTAATCTCTCAACTCGTTGATGAAATCAATTGAGATTGATAACCTCAACACAACGGTTTCAGTTTAACCAACAAAATTAATCCCTCTCAAGTTTATCAACCACGACCGTGCATTAATAAACCGAAGTTACTTACTCGTGAAACCATCAACGATTAACCATCGGTTTGTCGATCGTTTCTAGTAATAATTAATATATGAAACAAAACTAGTGGATCCTTTAAGTAATGTTCAAAATATTAATATGAAATATGAATAGGGATTAATTTATATTCAAGGAAGAATATTATTAAAGGAGATGAATCCTACTATAATTAATATTAAGATGTTAACTAATTGTCATCTTAGCAACACTCCCCAACATTAATATAGAGGAAGAAAATACTACTCTAACTAATGTCAAGATGTTAACTAATTGTCATCTTAGCAACACTCCCCAACACTAATATAGAGATAGTATTAAGGAAAGAACTAATAATTAATATTCAAGGGAAGAAATTAAGAAAATAACTCACAACTTTAATAATCAACAAGCTTTAAGAGCAACACCAAGAATTGGAAGTTTAGCTACTCATTTGGAGACTAAACATAGCTAGAAAAATATAGACAAAGAACTATTATAGACTGAGCTTAGAAGTATAAAGGAATTGGTGCTTTTATTGTGAAGGAAATGGGTGTATTTATAGGCTTTTGGGGGCTGCAGGGTCTGATACCCGACCGGGTGTATAGGATACCCGATCGGGTATCTTAGGAAATTTCCTAGAAAATGACTTTTCGGGACATACCCTATCGGGTATGTTGGCATACCCGGTCGGGTATGAGCCAAAAAATCAAAATCCTGCATGTTTTCTTGTCTTTCTAGATTCTGATTTGACACCTGAATCAACTAAATACCCGATCGGGTATGTCGGCGTACCCGATCGGGTATGTGACAAATCTTTACGAAATCTTGCTCCCACGATCATTTGTTCCCAGATTTGATTTGGGCAATCGAATCAAGCAAATACCCGATCGGGTATTGCTTATACCCGACCGGGTATAAGAGTATTTTATCCAAATCGAAATCTTTCTTGCCTCCTTGCACTTTCCTTGATCTTTTGAGGTCCAATCTTGATTCTTTGGATGATCTTTGACCTGTTTAGCTCAGAAAAGTCCTAATCTAAACAAATTACAATCATTTTACAAACTAAACTATTACACCAAAAGTGTGTAATTTCTACAACTAGAACTAATAAAATCTATTTAAAATTACAAAAATAAACAATAACAATTCTATACGATCAGTACTTTACATTAAACTCTTTTTAATATAAATATATCTGTCAGGGCTCCTTAGGGAGCAACCTTTTCCATTATTCTCACATGGTATCAAGAGCACATTAATTTTTTTTCTGATCCACTCTCTTTACAACTCGGCGTCGCGTGCTAACCCTAGAGCCGCCGCCGCCACCTATTCTTCTTCGGCCGCCGCCGCTTATCCTTCGGCAGCCGCCGTCTATTCCTGTTCGACGCTGCCAACTGCTGCACCATGTCAACGACATCTTCCGCAGCCTTCAGAACATCGGCAACAACCTCTGCCCAGCCTGCCTCCACAGTCGCGGCAGCAACCGGGTTCACCACCGGCGCTCCTCCCTCTTTTGGATCGCTGCCGGCACCAACGTCAGTCTCTTCCGGTGTGACGTTCTCCTCCAACTTTGCTTCACCAAGCAGAGTCTCTATGCCATACTCTCTGTTTCAAAATATTCCATCGATGTTCCCTTGGTCGGCTCCTATTCCCGTGCAGCATGTGCCTCTAGAGCCGCCACCCCTCACAGCCGGCCCCTCCTTTGCTGGCCCCACGTTCGTTGGCTCACCTGGTGTCTCCACTGTCATGTTCCCGTCTCGCACACCAACAGCC